TAGGTTGTATAAACATTTGAGTGTCATACACACACACACACACACACACACACACACACACACACATACACACACACACACACACACACACACACACACACACACGCATGAAGCATACATAATATTATACACAAAAACATAATATCATAACTGCTGACCTTAATCTTGTCCATATAGCCCTTTCCTCTGTGACAAAAGACGGCGTCTGCCCCATGCTGTCTCACCAGATCCTGACCGCCTTTCGTTCCCGCTGTCGCAATAACTCGTAGACCAAAGGCTTTGGCCGCTTGAATGGAGGCAATGCCCACCTGCAGTTGAGTTGTAAGATAAGATGAGATAAGATAAGATAAGATTAGATAAGATAGTATGAGATAAGATGCGATGAGATGAGATAAAATGAGATACAATAAGATAAGATAAAGATGTGATAAAGATATGATAAAGATATGATAAAGATATGAGAAAGATATGAGAAAGATATGAGAAAGATAAGATAAGATAAGATAAAATAAGATCATACTTTATTTTTCTTGGCTGTACACGACAGTAAAAACAAATGCATGTATACATTAAGATTTAAATTATATATTATTGTTACTCTCATTAAAATTCAATATGAAAAGAAAAGTAAAGCTAACAAATGTGCATCTCACATTAGATGCATCATTCAGCGCAAGCAAGAAATTAATTACTAGACCTTTAGAGTTAAAATAGGTAATATACATACTCGCCAAAGCAATGCACATTGATGTTTATTCTAACTGTAGCCTTATACCAGATCAGAAAAAAACACTTTTTTATATCTTTCTTTGTTTTTTAGAGGTACATATCTGCGATGTGTGATCTTACAATTTGTACGGAAAGGGGGTGTGATGGGTCGTTTATAATGCTATTTATATCTTTTTGGAAGTCGAAACTGTCCAAGACGATCACTCTTTATGCAGGAGGAAAGTGTCTTGGAGAGAGTGATTATAATTTTTCTTTAAAGATTGGAAGAGTGTAAGTGGGAAGTGGGAGGTGATCGTTTCAGCAGGTGATTGTCTTTGACAGATAGCTGCATTCACCCTGGATATATTGCAATTATGTCTTATTCTTAAATATTCATGAACATAAGTATACCAAAGAATGCACGCACACTCAGACACAGGCACACACACACATGTACACACACATATGCACACATACACACACACACACACACACACACAGACATTCACACGTACACACGCACACATGTACACACACTCACACATATACACACACACACTGACACACACAGACACACTCAGACACACACACACACACACACACATACACACACAAACACACAGACACTTGCAAGTTTGGCACCTATCGAATGATCTAATTTTTGTCGATGCACGCTTGAAAAGTTTACAATTAGTCCAAGAATAATAATAACATGACTGTCGAGAAACTAGAGAAGAGGTGAATAGACAGCGCGTTCTAACTCATAGCGTCGGCGCACTCTGATCATTCTTCTCTGCTGCGAGGAGCTTAGAAAAAGGAGCAAAAATCCATTAGCTCATATAACTTTTTCTATTGGGTTTTCTTTAACGGAAACTGAAAAAGACCTGCAAAAACGCACATACTTAGAAATACGCAAATACACGTTTCTGGTTTTGTATGGCGTTTCGAAATTTGCTATAACATTGTCTTTGGAGTGATGCTGATGGGGCATATTGTTGTTATTATTATCATTATTGTTATTATTATTATTATTATTATTATTATTATTATTATTA